AATGGAAAAAGCTCCCTCCATCTGACTGACGGCAGCGCGCGGCGGTTTTCTGTCAGGAGTCAACGCGAACTGGAAGTAAACAAAGCTGCGTTAGCTGCGTTAATACTCTAAAGAGCTGCTTCAAACAAAGACACACCATCTGGAATCAGGTTATAAATAGATGGTCTAATTGGGTGTATGTGAACAAACTAACATTGACAAATCTCAAAGTATTGAGTTTGGCCCTCAGCCTTTGTTTAGTGGAGAGCCACAGCGTTGGATGAGCATGTTGTGGTCGGGAACAAATTCAAATCATTGAGACTAAACTGGAAGAGGAGCATAGCGCTGTGAGATAAAACATCTCTCTCTCCCTGTATTCACAACAAGGATGTTTGTTCAGGCCTGTGGTCATACGTAAGAACGCACGCTCACTGTGTTTAATGTCACTGTAATTAAAAACTAAACTGCTTTGCTGTTTTGATTTCATGTCGGCAGACACATCAGCTGTTTCTTTTTTCATTCATCAACCAAAAATGACCTTTTTGTTTCTCACAATTATAATGATATTACGTTTTATTGAATGTGGGTTCATCAGGTCCTCTGAGGGGTTGCATCACAAATATTTAATCATAAAAAAAGAAATTGCCTCAAACTAACAACCCCAACCTGGGAATAGTTGGTCTGTTGTGCAACGATTGCATCTTGCCTTAATGTTGCCTTGTTTCGTCTCACAGTAACATCTCCGATTGCACTGAGGTCAGAATGTGACACTAATGAGAGCAGGTGTGAAAGTTGCCTTGGCTGCAGAGGTACACAGCGACAGGTAATGGCCTTCATGCCGAAAGCTGTGAGGCCCAGTGGGTCTCAATGTGTGTGTGCATGTGTGTATGTCCATAACAACGACAACAAACTCAACTCAACTCCAACAAAAGTTTTGTACACTGAACAGATACTTTTCAAACTGGAACAAACATGAATAAACTCCAGATGAACATGTCATTGTCTCATGTTATATTTGATTAAGAGCTAGAAATGATCATGTGAGCATTGATCAACAGACCACGTAAGGTTAAACACACGTTCACCATAGAAGGAATTATGCTTACAGTCATGAAAAAGGGGCCTAAAATATGGAAGGTCTGATAAAACACAAGATAAGACAAAAGTGTAAAACAAAAGAAAACTTAAAACTTATATCATATTCCAATATATTTATGTTCTTTATCGCTTATACACTGTCAGAAAAAGTAGATAAAGCATATGTGTATTGTGCCTATATACTCAAGGACACAACCATTAGGATACGACTGAACAACCTTTTTTTATACTTCACACGTATATCGTGTGAGAAGAAGTATAATAAAAGTTTAACTGCTTTGTCAGAACCTCAACATGACAAAGTGCCTTCAACAATATGGCTACTTTCTAGTTGCCTAACTCAAATTCTTATTGAAACTTAAAAGTCTAAACTGAGAAATTACATTACTGTAGCTATCGTATGAGATTACTCACTAAATGCATTACATCAGAACACAGCTTTTCGACTTGACATTTCACTTTTCAAACTGAACATCATGACTTTTCTTTTGATTTTATATCTTTGTGTTTTTCTTTTTTGTCCTTCGTAGTGTGTTTAGTGTTCAAAGGTTCAGTCTTTCAGGAAGCTTAGAAAGTCTCTCTGACCTCGTCACTTGATGTTGGGGGCACTGGCACTTCCCTGAGGTGTGAACGGTTGCGTCGCAGCCGTCCTCCATCCGGGGGCTCCACCGTATATGAGCATGGTGTGGGTGCATGGCCCACAACTGTCCCTCTAGTGCGTGAGGGTCTGATCCAAACCTGCTGTCCAGACTGAAGAGGTGGCAGGGTTTGAGTGTGTGTCTCCGGTCGAATGTTTGTTGCTGTTGCAGTTTCAACGCAGTGTCCTTTGAATTCCTTGAGATCAGGCCACTGTGGTTGTAGTTGCAGAGGTGACACTGGCATTCCTTTCCAGTTCTTGTTCCGCCTCCATGGCTGTGGCTGGGAGAGTGCGCACCGTTCCCTTGATTCTTCAACACGGGCTATGACCTCCATTTTCTGCAAATGGCTGGCAGGCCCCATAAGGGTGTGGTCAGGTCTTTCACGGTGAAAACACCTCCTGCTCAAACTTTCTGTCGCCTCTCTGAATGACAGCATGCACTTGCCCTTTGACATACAGAGGTTCACTGGCAGGGCCCAGTAGAGGTCGGCGTGTCACTATGTAGCTGCTGTATTTATCTTGCGTCTATTCTGTTTCTGGAATCGGAGTCACGGATGCCCCTGTGTCCACTTTAAAGCACATCGGGCCACCATTTATGGTAAGCATTTCAGTTCATGTAGACGACTGTGGATGGTCAACAGCTCCTAAATAAGCCGCCACATAATCCTCCTCAATGGATTCTAGCTTTTGAGCACATAGATGCAAAGTGTCCCCTCTTTTGACATTTTCTACATTCAACATCTTTTGCTGGGCATTCAGTCCATGCATGTGTAGGGGTTTTGCCACACTTGCCACATGGCTTTGGGTTGGTTGAGGCAGGCTGAGGCTGAAAACGGCTTACACATTTCCCTAGAAGGATATCTTTTACTATTGTAAGACACTGCATTTATTTGCCCCGGTGAATCGGCTGTCCAGAGAACAACTTGGTGAGGTGCCTCATTATGGCTTTAGCTAAATCCAATTTTAGGCACACAGGCACACAATGGTAGAACACTGTGAAATAAAATTTTAACAAATACAACGGCAGACAAGTTGTTTGTATGGTTGCTACCTAAGAGATAAAATAAAACAAAAAGACATCAAGCGCAACAGACATGACATAAACTTCGTTGAGCCCGTTGGCTAGTCCATATTTCCATGGAAACCTAGGGAGATTACCAAATCCAAGTTGTGTTTGGTTTAGTCAATTCCTTTACTGGAAAGACACGTTAATGGGACTGGCTTAAGCACATATTTGTCTTAAACCCAAATGAGATCAACTTCACCTGTAAGTGTTCGTTTTAGTTTGGGAATTTGTACGAATGGGATGGAGGCCTGAAATTGAACTTTCGGAACCACTGAATATATTTACCTCAAAGTGTTTTTGACTTTTGCCTCAACACATGTAACGCATCAAATAACTCTTACATGTGTAATTGTGTTGAGTTAGAATTAGCCACAATTGCTTGTGTCCCAAAGTTTCCAAGTTCAACCTGTGGGAAACAGAAGGTTCACAGAAAGTTGCTTCTAATTACCTGTATTCATTTTCCACAACAGCAACATTGGTGAACAATGAAACGGATCATGCTCCGCTGCAGTGGCTCCACCACATGAAGGATACCAACTTTCCGATCACTTGGTGGTATCTGGATGTGAGTGATATTACATTACCTTACAAGTCATTTAGCTGACGCTTTTATCCAAAGCAACTTGCATTACATTTTCAACCCATGGCTTTTTACATTTTGCCCGGGGAGCAATTAGAGGTTATGCGTCATGGACATGTTCGACATGGAACATGAGGCAGTCAGGACTCGAACCACCAACCCTGTGCTTCCCAGCGCACCCTCTCTACCCCCTGTGCCATGACGACCCCATAGAGATATAGAGAGACTGGGCCATGATTTTCTGGAAAGAGACCTTTTTAATATACATGTTTTTTGTGGTGGAACATACGAGTTCTTGAGACACTCACAATATGCAATCAACAAATTCTCCACCAAAATCTTTGTATTCTTTCAGCACTTTGAGCATCACAAGCCGAGTGCCGTTGTTTAACACTATCGAGAGAAGTCGGACATCTCTATGGCCAACTTTTCCAGCACCAGAATTCTCAAACCAAAACAATCTAGAATGATAAAGAGCACTTCAGGAGAGAGGAAACGTGTAGTTGGATAGATAGTAAACAATAGACATGGCCTCTTTGTTACATTTTTTGGAAAAACATTTTTTCTTTGGTTTAAAACAATCAAACAAAAGTCTTTTTATGTCTATATTTATTTAACATTGGATATGTGCGATTTGCAACTAGTTGGACAACTTGTGTGTTTAAAAAGGAAAAAAAAAGAAAAATATCCTGTAGCTCAACTGCACAGATCAAACCCAGAGCGATATGACCTGGATTGTAACAGCGCATGAATGAGTTTGACAGCTTTATTATAAGTGCTGTAAAGCAGAGTTTTACCTCCACGGAAGACCACACAGATGTGAAGGCCAGGTGTGGCCAGCCAGTCAGAGTGTGGACCAAACAATATTTGCACACTTTCAGGGATTCCACGACACATTGCCACGAGTAAACACACTCAGAGACTCCTAATTCCTGTCAATTATACATATCAACACTGTATTTAGCTGATTCAGAGTTTTCCACGATCCTCTTAAAATTGAGCTTTACATTTGACATGATCTGTTTTTTTTCTATTGCACATCTGACCTTTAGTGTCAAGGCTCCATCACTGACCCCTTGTTCTTCTGTAACCATGCATGCTGTTACAGAGACACATCGTACATGAACATGATATTCACTTCTGATGTACATTCTATATGCATACACATTATCATGCAAATGTACAGTATGTGCCATCATAAAACAGGGAGGAAATAAAGATCTGATGTGTAACTGTATAAAATGCAGTGAAGGTCAAGAAAGATAAAGACAGAGGGAAGAAAGGCTGCTTTGACAGTGTCGAGTTTCTGAGAGACAGAAAGGAAAGATTTCCTTCTTTGAAGCCTGAAAGGTGAGGGTCAAAAGACTGTCATGGTGGAGATGATTAAACAGTTTGCTCGGTCCAGACTTTATGAAAGAAAGTGCGTATAGTTAACTTCAGACAGATGGAAGCTGGGTTTCTTCAGGAAACTGAACCCTCTCTTCTACTATTTCCGGTCACTACCGTCGTGAGACTCTGCCTGTGTGGAGATGTGCCTTGCTCTTTCCCATTGAAGAGCATGATGGAAATTGTGATGTTTCGGAGAAAAGGGTGAAAAGAATAGAATGAAGTGAAATACATGGAGGAAGCTCAATGAAGATAGATGAAACAGTGAGGGGGAAGTTCAGCCACTTTGAGCAAGTTGTCTCCAGAGTAAAAGAGGAGGAGGATGTGGAGGAAGAAAAGAGCTTCATCAGTTGCATGAAGAGCACAGCAGCATCGTGTCTCCTCTCTGAGAATGAAAAGTCTTGTAGAAGATGAACTTTGCTTTCCTCATCTCAACTCCTCCTGCAGGAAGGTTGTGCGTCCTCACTTTGTATCTATGTTCACTTATATTTTATTATCCTCCATCTCTCTGCTCACTGTGACTCTCAACCTGCTGGTCATCATCTCCATCTCCCACTTCAGGTATTCATTTTATCAATGTATTAAGCTGCTACATGGGAATAAGTAGTGGAAGAAATGGTTCTCAGACTCAAATGAAAATATGTTGTTTCTTAATAATTAATAGGAAATCTGCTGCTAAAAAAAAGAATACGCTTGTTGTTTCCTTATCTTCTAAGGCAGCTCCACACCCCCACCAACCTCCTCCTCCTCTCTCTGGCCGTCTCAGACTTGTTTGTTGGCCTCATCGTGTTCTTTCAAATTCTCCTTATAGATGGCTGCTGGTTTCTAGGTGACCTGGTTTGTATTCTGTATCTGTATGTAGCATACGTTATTACTTCTGCCTCAGTAGGAACCATGATGCTCATATCAGTTGACCGATATGTGGCTATTTGTGAGCCTCTACATTATTCCAACAAAGTCACACAAAAAAGAGTTACGATCTGTGTTTGTCTGTGTTGGACATGTTCTGCTATATATTCAACTTTGCTGCTGAAAGATAACCTTGAGGAACCAGGCAGGTATAATTCCTGCTTTGGGGAGTGTGTTATTGTGATTAACTACATTGCTGGACTTGCAGATCTCTTTTTCACCTTCATTGGTCCCGTCACTGTCATCATAGTTCTGTATATGAGAGTCTTTGTGGTGGCTGTGACTCAGGCTCGTGTCATGAGGTCTCATGTTGCAGTTTTACCTCACAAGTTTTCAGTGAACAAAACTGCTAAAAAATCTGAACTGAAAGCTGCCAGGACTCTTGGTGTTGTTATTGTTGTCTTTCTGTTGTGCTTCTGCCCATATTATTGTGTTTCACTCTCAGGCCAGGACACCTATCTCGATGCCTCATCTGCTACGATCGTAATATGTGTGTTTTATTTCAACTCGTGTCTTAACCCCCTGATCTATGCCTTTTTTTACCCCTGGTTTAGAAGGTCTATGAAGCTCATTGTTACTCTTGAGATACTGCAGCCTGGCTCATGTGAGAGAAACCTGCTGTAGAGACGCTGCATGCTGAGAGGAATGAGACAAGAAAAAACTAATTTTTGTCTTTAAATTGTGTCCTGCTGCTTAAATTAAACAGTGAACCAAGTTAGAAAACTAAGACTACTAAGTTACTTTAGGAAATCTGTAACTTGACATGTGCGAGAATAACATAGAATTAATAAGTTTAAAACTGCTTAGCATCTAAACTCATTCTTACTCGGCTTGGTTAGCCTCTACAGTGGGTGGTGCATTCAAAGCCGTTCTCTAGAGTAAGGTTAGAAAATCACTCCAATCTACCGTGATTCCGAAAATTACACATTAAATTTCCATAGAGGACAACCACTATGAAGGAATTGAGCCATAACTTTTCTGTTTTTCTTTAGGAATCCCCAAAACAGAAATGAACTAAATATTCACCCTAATGTGTGAACGTACAGAGAAAGTACACAGACACATCGCTTGTTAGAATATTAAAGTTTACAAAATGACAGCCAAACAATGTAAAGATTGAGGGCCTGAAATACAGAAAACCACAAGGGTAATACTTAATTTGGTTGATCTGTTAATTAGTATTAACGGCCTCAATGTTGGTTTATATTTGTCAGACTTTAGCTCATAACACGTGAGTAGGAATTAGTATGAATGATTTGTTGGCCTGAAGGCTGAAAAATGAATAAGAATCATGTTAAAAGCTCGAAGGAGAATCAAAACTATACGTATGCTCGCTGTATATTTTATTCAATTGAGATTGTAGTTTTCACAGTACAACCCAAATTGTGTGCGTGTGTATATTTTATATATATATATATATATATATATATATATATATATATATATATATAAAAATTAGGGCTGTCAATGTCAAACAAGCTGAGTGCTAGTCAGGCACTTGATTTCTCACGAGGACTTTACATTTGGCCTTATCGGTAACACTTTACTTGAATGGGTGTTTATAAGGCTGACATAACATTGTCATAAGCATGACATGACAGCTGTCATACATATCAATAACTTATGACAGTTGTCGTTAAGTGTCATTCGGTAAGTTATGTCACTTTTGATGCAAAGGTGACATTGTTTGAGATGTCCTTGTTATGACAACTTGACATAAACCAAGACAACAAAACCTGTCATTAACATGTCATTAACATGCCATAACAGACCTAACTGTCAAACTTAAGCAAAATGTTTGGCTTCATCTCTTAGAGCGGCATTAAACCGTCATATATTGATGGTTTTGACATTCGCTGTCAAAAAACCATTACAATTGTGTCATAAATGTTTCCCATTTCCCTCCTACAGTGATTTAATGATTTTAACTTTGCATCAAGATATCATGTGCAATTACATAGTCAAACCAGTTTATGACAGTGTCATGACTGTATTCAAGTAAAGTGGAACGATTTGAATGTTTCGTTAAAATGTCATTAAGTGTTATCACACTGTCAGATGATAATAATACCTTAACAAAAGCAACAGACAAGTTGTTTTTCCTGTATTTCAACACAAAACATTTTGTTGTGATGCCACTCCATCATCTTAAGATGAAGCAGAAAAAACAAACATCCAAAATTCCTGCATGTATTGTGTATATAAACAGATTTTTAACAAAGTTTAACAAGTTTAAACAATTGTTTAACAAAATGTAAACAAGTGTGAACAAAATGAATATTCTTAAGTATATTTATACATTATTGGGAGGAGCTTTCCATTTTTTTGCATGCTGTGATGGTTTCGGCCATCTCCTCGTTTATGGCCCCGCGACAACGCTCTGCAGGAACACAAATCTTCATTTCATCTTTACTTGTCAGCAGACCTTGGAACGCGTCCTGAAAGGTAATTGTTAGCTCAGCAATTATAGCTGTGCCTGCAATTGTGTTTTGATCGACATTCATTTTCGCAAAGGCTTTCTTCATGGATCCACACTTAAGGACATCCTTATAGCGCCGGATCACTCCATCTGTTGTGGTTACTTAAGAACACAACAGAAAAACAAACAAAATAGGTCAGTTTTTCAGGCATGTACTGGCATTGTTGATTTGGCACCTTTATAGGTTTTGTAGTAGTAGCAGATGAGAAAGGATCCTTACTTTTGCATCCTTCTTCTAGGCTGGTTATATTAGACTTTCCTACCTGACTCTGTGGCTAGCAATATCTGCCTTCACCAGCCTAGAAGGAGGATGCCCAGGAAGTAATGTCCTTTCTTACCTGCCTGTACAAAATATAACCAGCTTGGATAGAGGAAGCACAGTGAACTCGGATGGTACAGTAAGTAAAATTGTTTTCTTATATTTTTCTTTTTCAGAGGTTAGATATATAGCAAAACTGGAGGAGATCATAGAATAACTTGAGGAGATCAGGAGAGCTAGACAAGGCTGTAGAGATCTCAATCACTGATTTTCAGAATGATTACTAAAATATACCATTAGCTAGACATTAATATAACATTACCTTTAGTCGCATGTAACTATTATTAACAAAGCCCATGGAAGTAGTTGCCTTTCATATAAATGTAATCCACAAAAGGTTAAGCAGCGGGCAACTCTAGTATTGTTATAAAGGTGATTATAAAGATGATCAATATCTCTGCTTACTTCTTGAACGGCTGTATGATTCAGTGTGTTTTTTTGACTTAATGGTCTTTTTCTTGGGACTTCTTCCTTTTCCTTTTTCTCTTCTTCTGAGGATGATAAGAAGCTGGAGTCTGAGGAGGGAGATCTCGATTTTGAAGTCGAAGATGAAGAAGGTTCTGGAGCAGTCTTTCTGCCTGGGGGGAGAAAAGTGGGGGGTAGGTGGAAGAAGCAGAGATGTTTATAAGTAAACAAAGCAAAAAACTAATACTTTTTTTTAATGCAGAGTCACTTTTTTGAGAGCAGACAACTGCACGTGTACAGGAGGCTTTGTGAAACATCAGTTTGTGTGTGTGTGAGTCTGTTAACATGTTAGTAGAGCATTAGCTGTAGCATACAGTGAGTGATGGCTCTACTCTATGTCAGTGCATAGCATTTCTTTCTACACAGCAATGCCATCACCAGAGACTTATCAGGTCATATCGGAAACCTTTTGGAAGGGCTTGGGAAAATAGTATTTCAGCTCAATTGGACAATGCAATTGTATATAATAATATATCCTTACACTCTGTGCCCAGCCTATTTCTATTTGTGGTTCCTTCACCAACTAGTACTGCATGGATGTTAATTGTAGTGCATTTGTACCTTTCCCAGAAGATGTAAGTGTGCTGGGAGCTTCCTTAATTTTGGCCAGTAGGAAGTCCGTGTCAGCTTTCAGGTCCTTGTTGGCCTCCTCCAGGTAATTAATGCGCTCCTCGAGGTGTTCTATCTTCTGTCGGTCCATCTTGGTTTGTTCCTTCAGTTTGGCCAACTGCAATGCCCCTGTTGGAGACACGGCAACAGAGGAAGTACTTTAAGTGGATTATTGAGGTCAGTCAATGGTGGCGGTGTACTGTTGTGCAATATATTGATATGTGTCATATGTTAATCTATTCTATCTATCCATTAAAATACATAAATTCTTTGCACTGCAGTACACCAACAAAATTCCCAGTACTTTTGTGCATATTGTTTATTGAGAAGATAGGCAAAAAAAAATGTATGTAAATATGCATAAATAAAAAGTAAATTTCTAGCCGTACTGGTGAAAGTAGTAAAAAAAAACATAAATATACAAATAAATAGACTAACATAAATAGACTAGACTTACTTGTTTTCCTCGGACCTCTTCACATTCTTGTGCCACAGCGTGTAGCAGCTTGGGGTTAGCTTCATTATCCTCAGCCTTCCTGCCACGTTTGCTGAAACGGGTGTGTCACAGGCCGGCTCATAGCCTGTGGCAAGAATGAGGGGACACAAACACCAAGTATAGGCCAATCAAAAGAAGAGTTTATTATAAATCAAAAACTAGTAACTTTAAACAAAGAAAAGGAATGAGGTGTGCGAATGTCATAGTGTAAGGTGTATGTAAGGTGCATGGTTGAGTGAATCTGTATGTGTAAACATGACTGAGTGTGAACAACGTAAAACCTTCAAAGGAACAAACAAAACAGGATCATACCTGGAGGAGCAGAGAGCAAGAGAGAAGTGGTTAGAGGCCTTCTTATACCTAGAGCCCAGGTGGCTCCAATCGCTAAAGACCCTCCTCTGCCTGCAGGAGGAACCGCCCCTGCAAGGCCGAGGAGGAGCCGTGACAGGTGTGCATCTGGCTACAGTTGTGTAAGCAACACAAACAAACAAAAACAGCACCATGTCATAGAAGCTAAGATTAAGATACAATAGTCAAACGAGACATCTTAGTTGTTTAGAAATAGCGGCAAGAAAACTGGAGAAGTTTTAACTAAGTAACTAACGTTATAGCCTGTTGGCTGCCTTGTAACGGAGACGTGAGGACTTTGTACTTAAAGGCTAACTAGCATTAGTTGCTGAACGCTAACTTAATAAAACGGCAAAGACTGTAAACAAAAGACGAACAGTTATAATGTCCTCTTCAAAAAAAATGTTCTTTTAAATACCGAATTACACACCGGTATTTCGCGTTAGCTTACCTGAAGAAGGAAACTTCCAGACTGTTGATCAGTGTGTTGCACTGCTGGCACGTCCGTCACGTCGCGTTACGTAAACGTTACGTTACACGCGCATTCAGTTCAAATTCAACAACACTTGTAAACAGTGATGAACTATTAATACATGTGTTGGTTTTAGTTTTAGAAAAAATTTAGAAAAGCCAACTACGTTTGAAATATCATAACTTTTTTCACGAATACAGGTGCAGTTCCCCTGTAGACACACGTGGGGGTGCTGTTCTGTCTTGTTGATGGAGCATTGAGCGACGAGAAGAAGACTGACGTACCGGCTTTAAAAAAAAGGCGCGGGCGCGGATCAGAGACGGGTGACTAGTTGTTGATGCAATGACACCGATGGAAGAACTTTTAAAACATATTAGGCGTTCAAATACACACAAGAGCTGAAGGAAAATTGTGAAATGGACGCAGAAACGTGGTATCCTGACGACGACGATGAAGTGCGCAAAATGCAACCGTCGCATGCGTCTGGTGAAATGCCATGTCAAGGATGGGCTGTGGTGGTAAGCAGAAGCTAATTCTAGTTTGTTCATTTAAATGGAAACTACGTAAAAGAAGCCGCTGAGCTTGCGTGCCTGACATCACCGCGCATGGTTGGACGGGGTCTTTCATTAATTAATAATATTATTAGTAGTATTGTTATTAATAAATGCTCTGCTCAGACTCATGGGAGACGTGCTTGTTTGCATTTTGGATAAGTTGCAGTCTAGGATGTTTCCCTTACTGATGAACTACAGAGCATTGCAGTAGGCTAGTCTTGAAGAGATAAAAGCATGAACAACCTTGTCTACATGTCAGCCTCTTTTACTTTTTTAATTATTTTTCCTCAGGGTCTGTAAGCATCATAAAAGTTTCCCAAAGTCTGTACGTAATGGCTCAATATTCACCAAGTCTCACATCCCTCTGGCTTGAGTTCATGCACAGGTACAGTATTAATATATCAAATGTATTTTTTATTACACATCTAAATAACATATTTAGCGGTCTTTTATTTATGTGTAATTCATGTAGGATTGTTATATTAGGAATTCCGTTCCACCAGCCCCTCAAATTTGATTTGAGCTATTTATGTCTTAAAATAATTAAATCTTAGTTTCATCTCAGCCCAATTTATCAATTGTGTTTCTTACTTTTTCCTTTCTTCAGATTTGCCCAAGGTTTGCAGTTGAAGCAACTTGCACAAGGTTGTCACATTACATACCAGACTAGTCTCTAACTTTAATTAGGTATAAAACAGGTACATAAGTCACCACTCTAATCAATTGGATTCTACATTGCTGCAGAATTATTTGGTACACTCAGTGACACATGCAATGCAACTTCCTAAACGTTAGCATACATATTAGTCAAATTCCATACTAAGGCATAGTTATACCTCAAGATGCTTATATTTTATTTTCCCATTTGAAGGTGTGCATTGCTGCTGTCAAGCGACTGAGGAAAAGATGAGGATTGGTGGTCGTCATCGATTTGTTGTTATTGACAAGAGCAAATTTGCCCACAAACGAAAGGTGGGCTGTATATTTGTATGAATCTGCACTATATTTAGATCAAGATTTCATGATGAGTAATATTTTATGGGTAAAATAAAATGGGTTTTATGGGTACCCTGGGTACACACACGATACAGGTGTGACGGGGTGCCTCCTCTTTTCCGCTTCCCTTCTTGGTCTTAATGCGTACAGGAAAACACACACTTGACAAACTCGGGCTGTTGATCTGGTTTTAGTGTCAGTGAAGCTTGAAAACCTTTCAAGGTTCCTAAATTTTCTCTGAACATGTTTTCGTGGCGATTTAGAAGGTTCTTCAGAGTCTCCTTGTCCTTGTGCAATATTTCCACCGTCTTGATTTCACGCCAGTCCGGCCTTATGTTCCGTAGCCATTCACGACCAGACAGTGGTGGTGTTTCCCTTTCACCACATATAAGGGCAATCAAATTTCTGTTTATTCAATTTCACCGATACTTTCAACATTCCCTCGGGAAGCAGCAACTCTCCTGTGTGTGTTTTCAACACTACATCAGTCTGGCGTAAACGTATCAGGGCAAATTTGGCTTTGTACAGCTCCATTGAAATCAAAGACACAGCTGCTCCCGTGTCAAGCTCCATATCAATGACATGGCCTTCAATCTTTGGCCTTATAATCAATGAAGAAGATGCTGCATTGCCTTTTCTTACTGCGATCACCGCCTCAGCGTCGCCTGCTGCTGAAACCATATGCATCTTAATTCAGAGTCTGAATCTGAAGCAGAATCCCCATCACTATCTATGAGTTGGTCTCATCCTTATTCATTTTTCTGTTCTAGCAGTTCCCTGCTGTTGTTTCATTTTTGCCTCAAATCTTTGCTCGCTCCTTTTTCATAAATGAGCAATGTGGCCTGTTTTCTAGGAATTGTGGCATTGCTGTTCTCTAAAGTAGCAATCCTGTCCGCTGTGATTTGAAAGCATTTGTCGCCCCCTTGTGGCGATGAGAACGACACAGCGTGAACTTTCAGCGAACTTTTCAAATGCTGAGATTCTCTTGCTACAGCTTCCATTGACATTGTGGTGTCTACAACACGCGGGAATGTGAGCACTTCCTCCGTCAACAGTTTCCTTTGAATATTTACATTGATTAGTCCACACAAGTCTGTCCCTCAAATGAGCGCCAACATCACAATGTTCTGAGAGCTTTTTCAGAACAGCCACATGCTCGCAGCAACTGCTGTTTTAGTATCGTGTATTCAATGTTATTTAAGGATTTAAGAACAGAAATGGATCAAAGTTACCGTGAATTCCGAACTATAAGCCGCTACTTTTTTCCCACGCTTTGAACTGTTAGGGATTTAAGCAAGAAGAGCACACCTAGTGGTAGAAATGATGATATAAGTAGAAATGTTTAGTGTTAGTTTGTGTGATGTTAGATATTAGTTACTACATTAGCATGTTAGATGAAATAATTGCATTATGAATCAAACACCATTTATCATTTAAGTCATATAATTACTCTACGCATTAACATCCTTCAGGGCTGTAGTGGAGGGTAAACGCCGTTTACGCACCTCTGGAATTTTGGAAATAGCGTTTACGCATCTATAAATAGCGTTTACGCACCTCAAAGTTCCCTGCGCCTTGTATTCTTCCGTTGGAATAATTCGAAATAAACTTGGTGTAATTTTAAAACAGCTAAAACTACGTTTGCTATTGTTGAACATATAAACGCCGTAGTATGAATCATGTTCATCTGCGCTGTATTACGGTCTGTGAGCATCCAATCAGTGCCTTGCGGCTGCAGCAGCGACACCAATCAGGATACAGGAGGTGTGTAAACACATACACGTTGTGGATCAGCTCAGTGGTCCCCAACCTTTCTTACCTCACGGACCGGTTTCATGTCCGACAATATTTTGCGGACCAGTCGAGAAGGTCCGACGGGGGGGGTAGTAGTCGTTGCGGGCGGAACGACCGACGGGGGGGGGTAGTAGTCGCGCGCTCTGTGTTCGCTGGTCGTGGTAAAAGGACAAGAAAAACGCCTGGTGACGTGTAGATTAGAAAACAAGTCAGTTCTCAATGTGAAAAAAAACATGCTGTATAGGCTATTTATGATGACATAGGTAGTACATGAGTGTTCCTTTAACTTATGTTGTCAGTGTGATTGACAGGCTGCTTAACTGGTTAACTCTTAAATTCAACATATTTGTTCAGGCAGTGAGAGGACAGGCAATGATGCAGAGAGCACAGGGAGAGGAGAAACACCAGGTCCAATAGAGAGAGGAGAAGAACAGAGGAAAACATTCTGGGGTTCATGGCTCCTCTGTGCAAAGCAGGACCTGACTTGGAGGACAAGGAGGCCCTCTGGGCACTACTGTAAAAAGGAGACTCCATATGTAGATAGTTCTTAATGTGCAATTGTCTTGTTGTGTTGACATACTTTTCTTCACTGTTTTCTTAGATTTAATAAACTACTAACACATTTATTCATTGTCATTGATTGTATATCAATTTATTATCAATATTTTACTGATAACATAATGCAATATAGCCAGGACAGCCTTACAGAGTCGCAACGCTTTGTGTTGCGTTGCTTCGCATCGCGTCGCGGTCTGTATGATCACAAAATTCAGAGTTTACCCAACTCTAATTTTACCACTACAGCACTGAATGTGAAAACCTGGACAGATGCTAAAAGCCGTCCTATATGGATTTCTCCCAATTTTATCCCCAAAGAGGGTCTTTTGGTTGTTTTTTCTCTTGTCAGGTAGTGAATGAGCAAAGGATGTACGACAGCCCTGTGAGGAAAATATTATAATTTTGAACCAAATAGAACTGGGTTAAACACAATGGTTAAGATGTAATGAAATGTGATGTTATGTTTACATGATGAAGCTTTAAGCCAAAGCTGTGATCATTGAATGTGTTGTAGTATTAAGTGAACAGGGATCGATCGGGTCAGAGGGATTTCAGATTCGACCATGAGATGGAGCCAGGAGGGAGTCATGGGATGTTCTGAAGCAGAAAGGAATTCAACAGGGAGGAGCTGGGCTTGAATGTGCACCAATCACATGCGACAACACCACAACACTTGGTTCAGAGCGCACTGCTGAGTGTAAAAAGACAGCTGCATGCAAGTGTTCAAATCCAACACTTGATGGCGACCTTCTCACACCCAACAAGAACGGACCGAGAGCGTCCCTAGAAAGGACAAGTCCTGAAGACATTTACATGACAAGAAGTGCACCTGCTGTCTCATGCTATGTGTTAAGTGGACTGTATCGTAGTAGTTATTGAGGGACAGATGTTCATACTAGCTGGCTGCTGAGAACAACAGTTCTCAGCAAGTGACTCTGCTTCAGGCCTCAAACACCTCACTAACTACAAGCCAAAAAAAACGACTACATGAATGACCTCCGCCTGGTTGACGAGCTGAATGAGTTCTACTGCAGATTCGATAGACAATGTCCTGATCTCATTCCCCACAGCTCCACCAACCTGCCCCAGTCTCTCTCCCCTCCCTCCCCCAGCCCATCAGGGGCTCATGCCTCTTCATCTATATCACCTTCCCCTCCCCCACCAGCAACGACCCTCTCTATTTTGGAGAGAGACGTTAACGGGCTCTTTAAAAGACAAAACCCCCGTAAGGCAGCCAGCCCAGACTCCGTTTCCCCTTACACCCTCACAGACCAGCTGTCTCCGGTGTTCACTGACATCTTTAACACCTCCCTGGAGACATGCCACGTACCAGCCTGCTTCAAGGCCTCCACCATAATCCCTGTTCCCAAGAAGCCCAGGATCACAGGACTCAATGACTACAGGCCCGTCGCCCTGACCTCTGTAGTCATGAAGTCTTTTGAACGGCTAGTCCTGACCCACCTGAAGTCTCTCACCGACCCCCTCCTGGACCCCCTGCAGTACGCCTACACAGCCAACAGGTCTGTGGACGATGCTGTCAACATGGCCCTCCACTCCATCCTCCAGCATCTGGACTCCCCAGGAACCTACGCCAGGATCCTGATTTTGGACTTCAGCTCTGCTTTCAACAACATCATCCCGTCTCTGCTGCAGGACAAACTCTCCCAGCTGCACGTGCCCGACTCCACCTGCAAGTGGATCACAGACTTCCTGTCTGACAGGAAGCAGCACGTGAAGCTGGGAAACATGTCTCAGCCATCAGTACCGGTTCCCCCCTAGGCTGCGTTCTTTCGAGATGAACATCAGCTCCATCACCAAGAAGGCTTAGCAGAGGTTGTTCTTCCTGAGGCAGCTGAAGAAATTCAACCTGCCGAAGACGATGATGGTCCACTTCTACACGGCCATCGTGGAGTCCATCCTCTGCTCCTCCATCACCGTCTGGTACGCTGCAGCCACAGCCAAGGACAAGGGCAAGCTGCAGTGTGTCATCCGTTCTGCAGAGAGGGTGATCGGCTGCAATCTGCCGTCCCTGCAGGACTTGTTCGCTTCTAGGACCCTGAAGCAGCTAAAAAGATCGTAGCCGACCCCTCTCACCCCGGACAAAACCTATTTGTGCTCCTTCCATCTGGCAAGAGGCTGAGGTCCATCAGGACTACGACCTCCCGCCACACGAACACGTTTCTTCCTGTCGGCAGTCGGGCTCATCAACAGAGCAGGTCCCCCACTGACTGACTATAACATTCCACCGGTCACTTTCTTTCTCACTGCACATGTCACTTTAACTGTAATTTTCCACTTTGTCGTCACTCGTCACTTTGTTACTTGTTCGTTAGTGTACTTTATGCTTAATATTTTTTTTACTTTTAATATTTTACATTTTTAACTTTATTCTCTTGTTTTATACTAACCCATAGCCTTGTTCTACTAACCCAAGCATTAGCATTTCATTTTATTTTACTACTTGTGCACTGCTGTCTTGTTGTCTATTGTTATACTGTCTACTGTCACGCACCAACCGCAAAGTCAAATTCCTTTTATGTATGACATATTTTGGCAATAAATGTTTTCTGATTCCTGAATGTGACATATTTAATGAAAACAGCTCAAGTCGCCTTTGTTGCTCTAATAAATGTATTTCAGGATGAAGCTTTTATTCAAATATCTATTTAGTACAATATGCAGCTTTGTTTCTTGTCACCAGCACACACACACACACACAAAAGATGTTCATGTCCCAATAAAACGACTTAAATAAAAATAAATTCATACTAAGAACTTGATACCTGACTTACATGGTCTCCTTCTGTCTCTAAATGCAACTTACATCAACACCATTAAAGCCCTTTTACCAAAACACAATCACACTTTACAGATGATATTTTTCAATTATTAAGCCAGTTTCTCACAGATCCATCGCAAAGCAGTGTTACACGACACGTCATTCCAGCTGTTTTGTGTGTTCTGGTCAGGTTTTATGACAGCGCAGTCCTCCTCCACGGTTGAACCTATTCCCCCGTTATTAGGCTCAACTACATTGGCGTCACGGTACCAGTACCTAAGAGGAGGATAAGACATTTCACAGGAGTGTTCTCTTCACTAAAGCGGCCAAAATAACATTCAATGAAGCTTAAGGTCTTTCCAGTAAAATAAAAATGAGGAATGACATTTTCTAACCGAGTTTATTTCTTTGTGTAGTGCACAACAAATATTAGAAGAGTTAGACTAAAGATAATAATAACAATAATAATAATAATAATAAGTGTAGCAATAGTTGTATATGTGTCGATCTTTAAATATTGTTGTGTGTCTTACTTTGCAGTCAGTAGAGTTCCATCAATCCATTTCCAGGTGCCCTCGGTGTCTTTGTCACTCAAACCAATCCAACTATGACGTGTGTTGATGATTGAGAGGAATTTCTGTTCAAGATTAAAGAAATTCTGTAATTATTTGATGTTTTATTTTTAAACATGCTATTAGGGGAGTTTACAGGGATTTATCTTAAGAATCTGATAAGAATTCAACTATAACAATAGCTCAAACATATTCAATGTTATTTTAATGTCATTCTATCGGATGAAGAGAAAACAATATATTTCAATATTTTGTCTACATCTGTATCGACAAATATACAGAATATAGCGTAAGGGCATGAATACCAATGAAATTAAATATAAAATATATCACAGAATAAAAGAATATCAACAATAAAACAATACAGTGTAGCATGATGAAAAAGGAGCAGGTGTGGTAAGTGGTGGACGATGTACTCATATCTTTATTCAAATAAAGGTTCATAAACTACATTGTTAGGTAAAAGTCCTCTTCGTCCAGAATCATATTAGTATTCTTTGTCTGATTCAACGTTTACATAACATTTATCGTCCATAATTTTATAGTTTACGGTTGTTGTTGCTGTTGTGCCAGACGCGTAGCGGAGTTTCCAGTCTTAATTTGGCGATCGCCGCCGATCTAAGAACTGAAATGACAACTATCGGTCCCACAAAATCTAACTGCTATTTTGAGTGTGCAGTGATACGGAACGCTGAGGTCAATGTAAACATGTACAGTATATTATGGCTCAATAAAGTACACCCTGTGACTCACTCTCAACCAATCAGAACGCTGGATTTCATCTATCCGTATTAGGATTCTTGATACAAAGCTGAATTTGACTCTACATGGAGCATAACTCACTAAATGAACGTCATCTGTGTTGAAGACGACTTGAAACTAGAGATTGAGACCATAAACTCATGTTTACAATGTTTACTGAGGGAATAAATCAAGAGAGAAGTAGAGTCATTTCCTCATAGACGTCTATGGGAGCAGAGGAGTCGCCCCCTGCTGGTCACTACAGAGAAGTAGAGTCATTTCCTCATAGACGTCTATGGGAGCAGAGGAGTCGCCCCCTGCTGGTCACTACAGAGAAGTAGAGTCATTTCCTCATAGACGTCTATGGGAGCAGAGGAGTCGCCCCCTGCTGGTCACTACAGAGAATGCAGCTTCAACACAAATTGACTTTAACCTGTCGACAACAAGCTTCTACCATGTGGGTGAAAAACTGAGCCAGAACAAACGTCCAACAGGAATATCGTGTACTCGTGTAAATCATCTGTTTGAAACATATTTACTCTGGTATCTCCATGTTTTAAAGTACTTATAGGGCTGTTAGTGATTCTTTTTCAGGCGATTCTCAAAATTTGAGGTGTTATATTGATTTATTTCTTCACCAGTAAAATTTAAACCGGGTTTTCACATGAGAACACTCACTGGGGTTCCCTTTTATCCGGACAGAGAAATGTCCAGATAGACATAGTAGTTCCAGAGTTATTACACTTTTTTCATGGGTATGATATTTTGGAGCAGAGGCCAAAAAACAAACTAGGTCACAAATTGGCTTTAATTGTAAAAGCCAGAGTTTGTCATCAATGGAAAAAACTGAATATAACAATAAATAACTTCACACTACCTGTTCTTTAAGTGAGTTTATGATCACCAGATCTGCTCCTTGGGCTCTACAGTCCTTTCTGCCATTTTCCCAGGAACCATACCGTGTAGAGAGAAGATAACAGGAGGGACTGAACATCGTCCACCCCTCAGGACACGTTTTCTCTGCAAAAGAAGAAACATTTAACGTCACACAAGAGTCCTTGTGTGTTTTTGTTGACTCTCTATTTTGAGCTGTGGAGCGTCACTGTGACACACATTACTTTACTTTAATTAACATTCATTAATTACAAATACATTATTTTATTTTATATTGTACCCTTTTCACGGTTCACAAGTTAAATGATGGTAAATGGTTTTCTCTGGAAAAGAAGAAACCTTTAATGTCCTAAAATGAGAAATGAGGAAGTTGTGTTTTTTGCTGAATCTGTATTTAGAGTGTTCAGCTGTGGAGCGTCACTGTGACACACAGTTTATTTTAACGTACTGTTCTGTGTCCAACATTCAATACTTCTCACAAACAAAACACAATTATTATCTAACACAAATATACTATTTAATTTCAAATGTCATAGTGTATCCCTATATTTGACTATATACTTCTAAATGTTTCATCTCCTTCATACTCATACTTTGACAATGTACTTAATAAGTAATATTGAAGGTAGATTGAGAATTTAAGATTTTTTCAAACAACTGTTTTTTTCTGGTTGTTTTAAATCTTATTAATAACTTACAGTACAATTCCTCAATTCCCTCATTTGAAGGAAAGCAAAGACTTGAAAAAATTACTAATTATTAAGTATTTCTTAAAGAGTTAAACAGCAGAAGACACACAGACCAGCACTTACTTTGTCTTAACAAGAGCTGAAGTCTGTCCTTCTCTTGGGTCAGTGCAGTGAAGTTGTCCTTCAGTGCAGTGAAGTTGTCCTTCAGCTGGTCTCTCTCTGCAGACACTGAGGACAGCTTGTCTCCACTGACCTGGAGACGCTCCGTCAGGTTGGCTTTGATGGAGGAGAGTTCTGCAGCTGATGCATGCACTGAGTCATGAAGACATGATACAATACATCACTGTTGTGTTCTATATTACAGAAACATCCCATCATCTTTTCACAGGAAATAATAAATATACTGAGGAAATGTTGTCATGACAACCAGCAACCTGAACTCTCTCAAATCTCAGGTTGGATGAAGATCAGACTCACCGTGGACACCGAGACAGACGAGTCCAGCCAGCAGGAGGACACTGAGCAGCCCCAGAGAGACAGCAACAGCCACATGAGGTCTGCTCCTTGGGCTGCTGGGACCTGGACACATGAAGACCAGTCAGCACACTGGTCAGGAGAAGATGCACAGACTGATCATTCTTACCTGGGGCAGGTGTTGAAGGTCTTATGGAAACCTGAGACTTCACGTATTCAACGTTGGCGTAGATTTCGTCCATCGCTGTGAAGACGACCAGCTGTCAAATGATGAACTCGATGTTGCTTTCAATTTCCAAATATTTTGACTTTTGAGGAAGTTATAAGTTTCAGAGGTGCTAAAAGACATATATGTGCATAAAATAAAGCAGAACAACAACCATGCCCTTTCTTAGGGATGGTCAAAAATATATCAACGTATTGTATGTACTTACGAAATGTATTTCGATATAAAAAAACAAAATAGCCCTCAAATAAATGTGTTAAAATAAAATAGAAAATACCTTTTCTCCCAATTTGGTATAGCAGAGCATTCAGGTCTGGGCTTTATAATGTAAGAGCTTTGGTGAATCCCACAAAAAGGGAAAACAGTCACAGAATGTCAGTAGGCATGGGAATCGAGAACCGGTTCTTTTTTAGAACCGGTTCCTAGTGAACCGATTGTTTGGAATCGTCAGCCAATCTCTTTAACGGTCCTCTGTGGCGTTGCGCATGCGCAAACTTTTTTAGTTTCTTCTTTAGACTGCAGCAAACATGGCAACTAGGCAGAAGCGTTCTAAAGTTTGGCTCTATTTCACGCAACAAAATGACACCTACGCCACTTGTAACCTGTGTAAAAAGTATTTCGTCACAGAGAGGAAATACAACAAATATAAATAAGCATTTGAACACACAGCATGGAATTAAATTACAGGAATGTCATGTGTTCGATGCATGCAGCAGCTCAGCTAACGTCGCCGCTTCATCTCTTTCTGTCCAAGGTAACTCCTCAAAAGTGATCACAACCACTCACTGTGTGAAGCAATTTGCCTTTATTGTGTGTAGTTGATCAAGTCATCTTCTGTCCCTTCGTTAGAAGCATACATTTTCGCTCCGGCATTGGTCTCCCATTATTGATCACTTCACGTTTGGATTGAGTCCAGTGAGTCCAGTTTTGAGAAATGTTTGATCATAACGGTGTTAATTATCGGAGGGCGTGTGTTATCAGCAAACGTTTGCGTTATCGTGTTAACCCATTATTAAACTCAGCATATCGATTTTTAATCCATTATTAAACTTAGCATATGGCTACGCTAGCTTAGCTATAGAATCTGCCTCCCCCCTTAATGTGGCTTTTTGTCGGCTCAGCGATTTTGTAAGTGCCATTTGTTTCATTGTGTAAACCAGCTTTCACTATATAAATAATCTCCATTTCCATCCAATTTAGCTGATGACGTTCAGAGTCAGAGCGGTTCAGAGGCTGCTAGTCTGTCTGGGTCACAGCCACAGGCTACAGCTAGCGTCTTGTACCCCTCATCCTTTCTTCGAGGCAGGGAAAAATAAAATGATTGAGGAGAGGATCAACGAATGTCACCGAGCAGTGACTAAGTTTGTGGTGAAAGGTTCGCACCCTTTTACTACGGTAGATACCCTTTTAAAAAAAGGAAGGAGCACTGTAATTTCTAGGAACACGTTTAAATTAAACAGAATACATTTTATTTAAGTCTTTTATATTAAGTTGAAGAGGAATATGTATAAATGTCTGGTTATTCAATGTTTTTTAAATGTGTATGTATACATACTGTATATGGTGTGAGTGTGCAGCATTATAGAAAATTACATAAAAGTAAATAGTAAATTAATGTAAATATACCCGTTTGTGCTCTTTTTTTAATTGATTGGATATTACTATTATTTTTAATCTACT